GCGGGGGTTCGTTGAAGATAAGCCGGAGGCCATTTCACAGCAACGTCAGTCGTCACCAATCCTGATACGAAAAGACGAGGGGAGGAAGAGCGGTAAGGCCCTCACGAAACCTCTGAAGGGAAGGGTCGTGGCCGAAACGCCTTCCACAATTAAGACGGCTGCAGGGTCCATTTACCGGAAAAGCGATATTGCGAAGGTTAAGGTTGCGGTGCACGATAAGGAGAAAAACAACAATAGACGATCCCCATCGGGAGAAGAGCCTAAGAAAAAACAACAGAGGCAATCGAGGCGACAATCAGACGAACAAGATGAGGCTGAATTGAGTCAGTCGGATGAAGACTTATTGCTAGAACAGCCAGGTGCAGCTAAGGAAAAATTTCAGGATAGCCCAACGGTGATCACTTCAAAAGACACTCTACAAGGCGGTGGACTGAATTTGGCGGTACGAAGAGCGAAGCCAAACTTGGCTGGACCATTCTCGAAATCAACTAAGGCTAAAGTGGGCCCAATCTCGACGAAAGACGCACAACAAGTCATATTACAGAATAAAAGTGCTGCGTTAGCAGCAGAAGTAAACGAACCGCAGGCGCCAGACCACGCATGTTCGTCGAACACTATCAAGAACAAGAAAGAAATTACACGCACTACATCTCCTGAAACAATCCTCGACACTTTCAATAGTAAGGACTTATCGGCGAATGACTGGAATCGATTAGCGGATCAAGTACTTGAACGAGGAGTTCAGCGCGCGGCGGCAGAGATACTGCATTCGAGAGAGGATGCAAGAGACGACGAGGAATTGATGAATCCTCCGGGGTTTTCTGACGAATCCGAACTTGAGGAAACATCAGTGCGGAAAAGCGGGAGATCGAAAAAGGGACCATCCAGATACGGAAACCCGATTAAGCATTCGGTGAAATCAATCTCGTTCCAGAATAACTTATTAGACTTGAACCAAGCCGCGCTCGAAGCATATAGAATCAAGCTTGCAAATTTTAAACCCGGTGCTTCTAATTCGGTGGAGACAAAATTTGGTCTGCTGGAGAAACATCTATTTAGGAGAAAGTTTGGCAGCGAAGCTCTAGATATAACCCGTTCATGGAACGCCGAGTGGAGAATCCCGTTACAGTTGGAAGAGGAACATGAAGAGAGAGATGGAAAATGAGTTATCTAATACACAAAGCCAAAACTTCTTAAACTGAGTTCTAAAACTCCTATTCATTATTATTTAAAATTTTAATAACATATTATAAAAATTTTCTTGATCGAGGGGGTATGTGGTACCGCAACTGCTACTGCCATTGCAGTAACTATGCAGTCCTCATTTATTGGCCTTGATAGTGCTACTTACATCTGCCACTGCTATCGCAGTAATCAGATAGTCATCACATATTGACCTTGATAGTGCTATACATATTGTTATCTGTAAATTATATAATTCTATTATAAAAACCAAGGTCAAAGAATACGTGACCTTTTACAAATCCAAGAGAGTCAATCTCTCAGGCCTGTGGCTAAGAACACAGTCAGTAAGAAACTAACAACAGAAAAGAAACGGTTTCATTATGGTTAATTAAACTCTTCGAAACCACTTCAGTTTTCACTATACAACCTCAGAGGTATTGTTAGTTACCACATGATCAAATCCGATCAATCGCAAAGCTAGTCTGGGAAACTTGTTTAGAGTATCCTGGCCGATGCAAAAAGTTATATTTATTTAAAAAAAGCTGATTCAAAAGGTTTCCATCGATTGTGCTGGAATCTGCTGAGTCAAAAAAATGAATGAAATTGTCAAAATTAGTTTTTCTTTTTGTAGTTTTCTATAATTGTTTTGACGCTGGGCCTCGTAATTTAATTTAATTTTGTGCAACAGAAAAAAAAAACCTTTATCAGCACCAAAAAAAACTAATTTCTCCAAAAGAAGAAAACCTCTTTAACCAGTTATAATTGTCTGGCAAATGAACCCCTTCAAAACAAAAATCGTCAATTTTTAAATAAATCAAACTTTATAGTTACTTGAATTTACAATATGTCGAAACTTCAACCCTGCATCTTACGTAACAGCCGATAAAATGACAAAAACGTCAGAAAAATGTTACTGTATTTGCTTGGCTGAACACAAAAATCTATGGCTTCTTCGAACAATAACAATAGCTCAAAATCTATAAAAAGCAGGTATTCAAAAAACAACTTGCAGATCAAGAAAAGCCAGACGTTTGATAAGTAGCTTAGAGTGATTCGTCTATAGTCGAGGGGAGCGTAGAGCAAAGGAGCTGAAAATATTTCAAATGCTGTAATACATAATATTCAAGAGTTTTTCAGCAAAAAAATTTAAAAGCCACAACAATGTAAAAATAAACAAAAAGTGAGAAAAAAAAGGAAAGACTCAAACTGTTAGCATCTACTGAGTACCGATTTTTAATGGCTGATAATAATGAACTGTAAGTTTTGATTGTCAATTTGAATTAAAAAAGGTGCAAAAATTATGTCAAAAAAACTTAACTTTTAAACTTACTTTCTCTGGTTTTGCTTTAACCGCACTTTGATTCTTATATTAAATGAGAAATAGTTCAGAACAAACTTTTGAACCTAATAATAAAATGTTTTTTTTTCTTTTGTTGTAGTTAAATTCAGTCCTCGATTAAACGCAAAAATGAGAATGCTTCGGTATGCGCTTTAAGCTTTCGTTAAATGAGTAAGTTTTTAAGATGATCTTTTTCTTGATTAAAAAAGATGTGAAAAAATCAACATAAATTTCACCGTTGAATCGCTTAAACAGTTTTCAATCTGCTCCGAAACAAAACTTTGAAAAAAGTGATAAAAAGTATGTTTTTTTGCTAGATTGGTTTTGATGATCAAATTAAAGAAAAAGGTTTTTGAATGGACAAACTAATACGAGCACAAAATCGAGCAAAACTGAAACATAGCAAGCAGTTTGGCTCATGATTCATCGCTTTACTCATCATATTGTAAGAGAATAAAGCAAATTAAGTACATTGTTGATTTAAATCAATTAAACAACAAGCTAAATTTGAAGTTTCAATGGCTTTTTCTCAAATTTGGTATAGATTAGAAAAAATGAAGCCATCAAAAAACGCATTGATTTTCACAAAAATTATTATCGTGCAATTTCTTTGCCAAAATTCTCAAACAAAGTTTTCCCCCAAAAATGGGTCATTTTGTTTTTTTAGATACTCAAGAATTATGCAGAAACTACGAAGGTAATTGATGAGACATTTTTACTGAAAAAAAAGTATTACGCAGCCCTACAAAAATCTAAAAGGATAAAATCTAAGAAGTTTGCGCAATATGTTTGAAATTTGTTTTTAAATAAAAGAGTTTTGATTTTTATAGAGTAAATTGACGTCTTTTTGGCTATCAACGAAAAAAAAAATGTTCTCTTAAACAAAACGTTTGGAGAATTTACCCTTCTAGAACATTGTTGAACTGTGAGTATAACTTTTTTTGGTATAACTTTCTCTTGGGGGGGGGGGTTTAGCTGTGAATTTTGAAAAATAAATTGCATAAGAAAGCAGCTAAGCAATTTTATTTTATTAATTTAAAAAAATCGGTTTAGATTAGCGACAAATACCCTGTTGGGCAGTAAACAGTGCCGAAGTACAGCAGTGCTGAAAAAAAGTGTTTAACAGTGCCGAAAATTGATGCTTATCAGCACTGTTGAACAACACATTTAGTTTCCGCAACGTTGTACTTCGGCACTGTTAAACGCCCCTCTAAGGGCAGTAGGCCCATCTAAGTTTTCAACAATGCCAACAGTGCCAAAAAGATGTACAATAGTGCCAAAAAGAAAATTGTTATTCAACAGTGACAAAAATTGTCAACTTTCGGCACTGTTGAACACTTTTTTTTCCGGCACTATTGTTCTTCGGTGCAGGCTATCCTCTGATTCTCACAAAGTGTACTTTAGCGGAGCGTTGGAAATTGTAGCTACTTGTTTCTTTCATTAAGTTGTATATTTCTTTCGTTTCAATTAGTTTAGAAGCCAATGATGTAAGTGAATTAATTTCAAACCTTACAAGATGTAACTTTCCTTAAATTTTGTGAGTTGTCTCTTTCTACGAGTTGTTTTTCCTACGAGTTGTTTTTATTTGGATTTGTGTGTGGGTGGGGGGGGGAGGGGCTGAAAAGAATGTTTAGATAGATTTGTCAAAAAAAAAACATATAATAAGAAAACGATTCATTTAGTGTTTCGCTTTTCTTTCAGCAGTCTGAAGCTTTTTAGTTTTCAAAGGCCAAAATTCATCAGGGCAAAATGAATCACTGTTGAAAATTCGGAAAATTTTCCAATTAACCACTACAAATTAACTGCGTCCTAATTTGTGTGTTATAAGAGTTCAATGCACAGACAACTGTGGATTAAAAATGGAACTTAAAATCTATCAAAAAAGACAGCCGAAAAAAGCTCATAAATGTTTTCTTTTCACTTAAATGTTACTTCTTCGTAATATCTTATGAGTAAAACTAATTCAACTGCTATAATATGTTTTACTGTTAGTATAATGAAAATATTTTGGTCGCAATTCGGCTTCAAAAAAATATTTCAAAAACTTTTCGCTGTATCGAGAAAAAGTGCTCAGGATAGTTTTCCTATTTCTGGCTAAATTTTGTCTAGACGAAAAAACGAGACGGAAAGATAGCTAATTTTGCTATGAATTTTCAATTGCTTAGGCTAATATTAGCTAATAATGAAGTTGAACTTCAATTCTGGCTTTCTGCATAAAAACATGTAGCACCAGGGCCGATTTAAGGGGGGGGGGGGGGGGAGGGGTGGGACGCTTCCCCCCTCGGGGATTTGACCCCCTGCCGATCCAAAGGGTCACCCCGTGGTACAGTTTACAAAAACAAAAAAAACTATATCTGCTACTGTAGCTGACATAGTTTTTTTGCTTTTTATAAACTGTTTGCAATGATTATGTTGGCACAGAGGTTAACTCCTTTTTTCAAACTTTTGGTTAACTGACGAACAACTCTCAACTGACCTTTGAATTGAATTTGGCAGCAGATGCTCGTTTCTCTAGTTTTTCTGTCAGATCAATCGGTCTTTCTCCAGAAATATTCCTCGATCGTATTTCTTCAGATGTCAAAAACAACGCCAGACTTGGCGGGAAAAGTCCGGAGTTTTTCAACTTTGGGGTCCTTGGAGGATGACCCGGCAAGGATTCCTCAGTGACATTAAACTGCGCCAGACTTTCTAGAATATTCTGTGGTTTGTTGTGTGGTTGAGTAACTGAGGTGTTCTCGTGTACCATGAATTTAAATGCCTGAAATTTAAATGTCACAGTTTAATTCAACTACAAGCAGACAAGACTACCTGTTAATAAATTTCTACCCAGGGGTTTTCTTCATATTTCATACTGTCGATTGAATAGATCAAACTGCCGATTGGCCTACCGGCCGACCGCAACAAAATGAATTTAGAAATGAAGATATAGAATTATATGAAATGCAAAATTCGAACAGAGCAAATGTATTAAAAACTGATTAATTGAAAAATAGTCGTTTTTTTGCCATAACGTACATGTTTTGCCATTTTTAGTTGCTTTTTTGATTTTTTTTCTGTAAAAAACTCATTTTTAGTTTTTTTTACCTATTAGTTGTGAAGAACACATTTTTAGTTACTTTTTATCCTTTTTGTTGTAAATAACACAATCTTTCCCCAACTTTCCCCCCGAAAATAAAACTGCTAATTAGTCTATCTGATGTTTAAAAGATATCATTTTCCTCTGTTTGAAACTGTGGTTTAGGAAGGCATTCAACTTACCATTTTATTAAATTATAACTTTTCAGTCCGGATCAATCAGGCATGTTCAACAAAATTGAAACTTTGCCACTCTGAACTTGGTCTGATTCTGGGCGGTCTGTATATAACAACCTATCGCGAAGTGTTATTTTGATGAATAAGTTAGAATGCAGACGAATTTGCCTAAATTTGGATAAAAATGAGGTTTTGTTCTTTTGCCTTTTGAATAATGAAAAACATCTACCAAATATTTTTACACCAATCAGGCTAAAATATCTGAAATTGCGGTCATGCGTCGAATAGTTAGTATTCCCTCAGAAACTAGTAACAAGGTAAAATTGGAAAGGATATTTAAATGTGATTATATTAGTTTTGACACCTCGCTACATTTGGTTTGGACATTTGAAAAATCAACATTTGCTTTGGACAAGCAAAAATTTCAGTTTAAATTTGATTTAAATTAATTAAATTAATTAAGCTCTCCGTTTCAAGATTTTTTCTTTTTAAACCGATATAATAAATTCAATAGCGTTTTTCAGAACTCAAGCATTTTTCCGAGCTGAAAACTTTGTTTCACTAATGATTTTTGGTTTATAAAAAGAGAAAGCCAACTTTATATTAAAACCAGAATTTTTTCAGTGGGATTTTTTTCAGAAAAATTCAAATATTTACTATCAACAAGAAACTGACAATAAGGGTAAATGCTAATCAGTCTAAATCAACAGTCCTGTATCAAAAAATGGTAATTTGAGGAAAGTGCGAAGAGATTAGCACGGGATTGTGACTTTAGGAGGAACGATATAACGTTTCAAAGAAAATTGAAAAAGGATTGGTCCTTTAACCTTACGCAATTGGTTCATTTTACCAAATGGTGCTCAAAAAGCTTGCCTGTATTTTTGTCTCTTCGTTTATAAACACAATGGTTAAATTTTATACCGCCTTATCAATTTCAGGTGAAGACGAGAGAAAAGTGAAGCTTAGAGAGAAGTCGCTCATTAAGCAGACAGTAAAAAAGCAGATTTTGGAGACAAAAACTGGTAGACTGGAGACTTAGGGGTATGTAACAGATCTGTTGGCCTTCAAACTCCCTTTTAAAGGCCACTTTATTTGTCTGTAAATCAATTATTACCTATTTGTAAAAAGACATAGACTCAATAATTTCATTTACACATAAAATTAATGCGCTGATTTAAATTGTTAATATTAAAAAAAATGAGCCCAAATTCAAAAATTATCAGTGTTAGTTTTTCTGAACACCAAATCATATTAATGAGTAGAAAATGTTTAAGCAAAAAACGCTTCTAGGCTTGTTTTCTGTTAAACACAACCTATTTGCAACGCAGTCTGTGATAAGATGCAAGCGAGATAAAAGTCCGATATGTTGCAAGAAAAAAAAGATCGATCTTAAATTTCCTACCTCAAGGGTGTGAAGTTGAAATAAAAAGTAAATTAAAAGTATTGTACAATAACTGAATTTCAATTTATTCAATAAAGAGTCGCGAGTAATAAGCATCTACTGGGAATAAATCAGAACAGACTAGCTTTGAAATTTTAACTATTTCATCAAGAAATGTTGTAAAATATAATAAGATTTGAAATATGAAAGCGACGTGAACAGGCGAACACGATAGAATTGATTGTACTTAATTGGCTCACAAAACTATCCTATTCAATTGTTATATGATCCAAAAAAGACGGGGGAGGGCTCTTCCTGGTTGAATTCGATCACAGTTTACGACATCAATTTTTGGCCGGAACGACCTTTTAAATTATGTAAAGACGCCATTGATGCAAATATATGGTACATTTGAGAAAACGGGGATTAGAACGATACATTTTTAATCAAATCTGAAAAACTGAAACCATTTCTCAGGAACATAATTTCCCACTTTTTTGATTTTCCAATTTTGTCTTCTTCCTAGTTGCTTGCCGTTTTTTAGTGATGCAGAACAGCAGCTAAAAAAACTTTTTTTTTGTCAAAAAAGTGCCAATTAAAATTTTCAAATTATGAATCTCAGCGAAAACTAATGTTTCTCCCAAAAGCTTAAGCTTTTTATCATTAGAAATCCTGAAACAACTCCCGGCTCAAGAAAAAACTTTGTTGACTACACTACCGAAAAAAAGAAAGTAATTGTACCCAATACCTCGCCTCATATTTCTATTTTATTAAATCTTGTTAAAAGATGCCAAAATTTTTTTAAATAACAAAAAAAATGAAAATGTTCATAAGCAATTTATTCAAGCACACAACTGTGGATTTCCGTAAACGCTTAGCATCTCATAGGTCAATTTTTCCGGTGACACAAATGGCTTTATTGGTCGAGAATTGACTGGAATTATTTGTAATGACTAAAATGAAATTGATTTTTTTATCAATTAGTTAATTTAACTTTGGCACAAAAACAAAACCAAAAGTTAAATCAGAATTATCATGAAAAAAGTCAAAACAAATTATGCGATATTGAAAAAACTTCCTTACACTATAATCCACTAAACAAAAACCAGTCTGTTTAATTGTAAAAACGCTTGGGTAAGAGTGTATCTATAGATTTGCAGATGAATCTTATAGCATAAGAAAAAATTGTTTGTTTTAAGTACGAAAAGAAAATTTTACGTAATACAAATGGCGCATAATTGATTGAAAGACCCAAAAAGACGTTTAGTATTGGGTAGAACTTCCGTAATTAAGAAAAACAGAAATCTAATTTAGTGGTAAGACACTGATTTTTGCCCACGAAACACCTGTGCCAAGCCTAGAGAAGCGAAACGGAGCAAGCGGTTGCTACTTGCAGGAGCTGCGTTTGAAGTTGGCGCTCTGACTTGCTAATTGCTCAGAGTCTGCTACAAATCCGGTCTTTTAATATATCTAGCACACGTAGATGCATATATCTAGATTGGCTAATATAATCAATAAAAACAACAAACGAACTTCTTTTTATGTCAGCAATTACACAACCTGTTTATAAGTCATTGTAATCTAGGTTATGCCTACGCCTAACATCTTTGAATTGTTCTTATTAAAAATATGACAACTAAAAAAAAGAAGGTCCAGCGTGCCGAAGTGTCAATTTCCCGAAAATGCGTTAAATTTTTTAAATTGTCATACGAGGTTATATTATGTCTTCAGAACACTTAAAAGGGGTAATCAGAGAAAAAACATAATTCTAGGAGGCGATTATTATACTTCACTTTAGAAAACTTTTTCTTAATGTGGATAAAATTGAGGTTTAAGCAGCAAGAAAACCAGCATTGAAAAACAATTTAGAACTCATCACAAGCAGCAATACGATAGCGCTTAAAAAGTCACATCTAACCAAATGAAAAAATACTTTAATTTTCGTCAAACTGATTCACTTGATATTTTTGGTGATTTGGATTTTCAACATGTTGACATTCAACCAAATATTGGTACACAATTTAGGAAATACTCAAGGCATGGGAAACAACATGTACACAGAGTTTGAAAAATCAATAAATTTTAAAATCTCAGCTTTTAAACTTTTTATTACTGTGCCATTCTGCCAGATGACACAGCACAACCTTCCGGCGACATAAAAAAGAGTGACTAAAGGCCTTATGAACAAAAAAGTGTTGCGACGGAGGGTCAGAATGTTCTAGAATTTTTATTTTTAAAATTTCGATTGGAAGAAGAACATTTCTGAAAAATAGAAAAAAGACGGCCATTTTGAATAAAAAAGACGAAAATCAGAACCACGATAGAGATTGTGAAGAACAGTCGTGCAAGAAAATTACGAAGCCTCTTATCGTGGCAAAAACACACGATAAGGACCTTAGCGACAGATATTTGTGGAGACGGAGGCTTCAGTGGGGGGAAGAGAAATACCACGGAACCCTCCCGGGACACGAAATATAGGAGATAAGAGTGTTATCTCAAGAAAATCACGGGAGCGGAGGCTTGGTCCCCCAGAGACTGTTATATGTGAAGGGACTGTGAAAACTGACTATAACAGCTGCTGTAATGTCCTAGATCTTAATTAAACACCGATATTATTTGATATTTCAGGACATGAGTAGATAGAAAAAGGGAAAGGGTCAATCCATCTCCAATGGATTTAATATAAAACTGTCACACAAAAACATAATAAAATAGGTTGTTCGAGCCGTGTTTTTAATGACAATCACGTAGTCTGAGGATCCGAGACTCAGCTATGTGGTTGTGTTCGCATGCAAACGAAAGCTGATCAAAAGTCGTTTGACTGATGGCCTAAAAATGGTAACTTTTTACTTTGCCCTAAACAGACCAGAAAATCAACTGGCAAGGTCGAGACGGTGAAAAACGAGTAGGATTAAGGTAACTGACGCCTGCCAGTCGTTAATAGGTACTTTTTCTACGCTCCGTCGCTGTGTGATATTTGGGCGAATGTTACATAGACGTTTTTATGGCGCTCCTGGGTGGGCCTGTTAAAGGCATGAAACCATCATGATCAGCAAGCGTTTCAGTGACGAACCCTCCGCTCCGGGCGTATGCCCGAGTTAGAGGTCTTAATGACCGTTGTTGTACTAGGGGGAAGGTGCGTACCCTCCGTCTAGTGCAATTTAGCTTTTTAACTTAGTTAACACCGAAAATTCCGGGGGCCGGAGGGTTAGGTGGGAAGTCATGAACCCGCTTGTCCCGAGGTCCCCGGACCAAAAACAACTAAAGAGAAAGCGTAAAACCAAACAAAAATAGTGTATAACCAAGAAAAAGCCAAAAACAAATTTATTTAAAAACAAAAAAGTACAAAAAACAGTAAAAAAGTCCAAAAAAGACCAAAAACAGTAAAAAACATAAAGTGACAGTTTATATGTTATTTCCGGACGAGATGTGATCTGACCTTCCTATTTGTTGTTGTTTCAGATTGATTTATATCGTTTCTGATAGAAAGATTGTGTGTTTTGGTGAAGGGTTGGATACCCTCCCTCGAGTGTAATTTGAGTGTTTAAGCACGTTAATGGTAATTTTGCCGGTGGCCGGAGGGTAGAGTGGCAAGCTGATCAACGTGTTCCACACTCAACAGGGACATCAAGGACAACATCCGCAACGACTGTTGGGTATCGTTGAAGCAATTTTAGTATCGTTCGGGTACTATTTCATTAAAACTTAAGTGGTGGGGGGCACGATTGGCGCGGTCCGATTGTACCCTCCATCGATTACAAATTTCCGAGTTAAGGGTCTTAATTCGGATATTTTGGTGCAAAGGAGGGTATAGTACTATTCATTAACGACTATTAATAGATTATTATCCTAATTATATATTACTTATCTCCTCAATTAGATCCAAAAAACACCAAATTTTGTCGAAAATCATCGATTTTCGATCAAACTGTAGACCCCCAAATTTTTGGATATCCGAGCTTTTCCGAACAACAAAAAGCTTTTATATAGGGAGTAGCTACGTAGTTCGATCCCCCTAACTAAAGAAACCGCGTGAGAAAAGACTCAGTAGAAGTTGGAAAAAACCAAAATTTTTCGGTCAAAATTTCGATAATTTTTTGAATTTTGTCAATCTGTTTTGGGGATCGAGTTTTTGAGTTTTTAGAGTTAGAGCAATAAAATTTTTTGCGTTAGGAGCGTGCTAGCACAACGTGCTCGGTTACTAGAGAAATTTTTGGGTAACCCTCCGAGTAGCTCCGTGGATAGAGCTAACGACTTAAGGTTTGGAAAAGGAAGGAATCGGAGGGTCCAAATTTGATAGTTTTTGGCCAAATTTTTGTTTCTAAACCAATTTTGGTCCAGTTTTTTGCATTATTCCAGTGCTGTACAGGGCTGCTACGCTCATTTCAAGTATTTTTAGGCACTTTTGACCGGAATTGCGGAAAAAGTCTTTCAGAACCTATATAGGTGGTGAAAAAGG